ATTATTATATTATTTTATTACGTTCTACCTCATACCTGAGGTGTCGTGTTAAGAGTCTGCTTTTAACATACGACAACCACGTCCACTAAAGGACATGGCAAGCAGCAAGCAAAAGCAGGCAAAAGCAGCAAGCAAAAGTTTAAACCAAGTAAAAACTTTTGAAAATAGTGATGGTCCCCAAGGACCATCATACTCAAACAGACCATCACCTATTTAAAAGCATCTTTTCTCCTTTTTTTTTTTTTTTTTTTGAAATTTTAGGATTGTTACACTATATTTGGTTGGTAAGGGAGATTGTGGTCTTTTTATACTAAAAGTAAATAATTCATAGGCAAGGATTATCTACGGCACCCTTCTTACACCCTAGAAGTAAGGGTGCAATTTGTATAGAACTGAGGCTCCAAACAAACAAAGTAATGCACACCTTCAGATAATGTTGAGAAATGTGGTTTTAATACGGAAAACTTTTGTGAAAGACTTAAAATATATTATTACCTTTAATTATAAAATTTAAATGTTCAAAAATAGTGTAGATCGAGCTTATGAAAAACTTTAAAATCTTGAAAATTGATGGTTAAAAAATGTGTTACAAGATGCACTATTTTCAAAACTTGAAATCTATTTTTTTCTCTTGTCCATGCATCTTGATGTCGAGATGATCAATTTGAGGATATTTGGGCAACAAAACAACCTCTTCTAGTGAAATATTTGAGGTGGGCTCTAATTTGATTGTTTAGAGCTTCGGCTCTATATAAACTTTTTCCTAGTAGTAATTTTGACTCGTATCACACACCCTATGATGGGTTAAAAATCTATTTTTATCCCTACTTATAAAATTTGAAATTTTTAAAAAGGTATAAATTGGGTATATTTATAAACATTTAAAAATCTTGAAAATAGACGGTCTAATAAACTTATTACAATATAAACTATTTTTAGAATTTAAAAACTTGTTTTTCTTCATAGCCATACATCTCCAAGTACGATGATTGCTTGCAGTATTTTTCAATGTCGAAATACCCTCTCCTAGACGATTTATGAGGAGTACCTTATTTCAATAGGACATAGGTAACGCCTTAAATACAAAGAAAATCGTTTCATGCAGGCTGGACCGCATTTCAATAGTCCAATTGGTTTTTTTAATATAATTATTATTTTTAGGTTTCCGTCTTCTTTTTTTTCTTTTTCATAATCATGATCTCTATGTTAAAGATTATATTTTCTAAAAATTAGGATCAAATTATATTAAAAATATATATTTATTGCCAAGCCCGTGTTTCTAAAATATGCAGGCTGGCCGCGCAGAAACCGTGTCCTAGATACAGTCCATTTTTAATCATCCATATAACGATGTATATAGAGAAACAAAGAATATCATAAAAAAAATAAAAAGAAATAAAAAGAAATAAAGAGAGAGATTAGTGGTCCCGATGGGCATTAATATAACTGTACGCAATAAATCCATCATTGTTATTATTTCACGAGGAATCAATTACCACCAAAAGTCCACGCGTTATTTTTGGTACCCATTTTAATCAATGAGCGCCTTATGCTCTGTCAAGAGCAGTGCTCGCTTGCGAGGAAGACCAGTCAAGAAAGACTAGCTTTTTCACATGAAATTTTGTGATCAAATTTAATAAGGGAAAGTTTATATAAGGTTTCAATCTTATAAAGATAAGGGGCGATCTGAAAAATCAATCGAACAAGGTTGTTCTACTTTTAGAAAGGTATCTGATTGATCATCCTCAGCTCGACACGTATGGATGTTTGAAAAAAATAGATTGTATATTATGAGACTCTTTATTTTTGGTACAAAAAGGTCACAATTTTTTTTGGCCTTTAGATATAAAATCTAATAACTAAAAGTATATCATAATATTCGAGAAATTTTATTTCAGACGTGCTCAAACAATGACACATCTTTAATTTCCTGATTCCAAAATTTAATGGTCGATGATGATTATGACATTCTTGTATCGAAAACAAATGGTATGTATATATTTTTTAAAAAATAATAATTAAGTCCTAAAAATAGTACATCTTGTGACATTTATTTTTTGAATTGTTCATTTTCAATGTTTTCAAGTGTCAATGGACCTACTTGATTTGCATTATTTTTAGAGTTTTTATTTCATAATTAACATCGAACATAGAAGTTCCAGCCATCCTAAAAATTTGTGACCACCAAAATTACATCTTTTGATAAACATTGGAGGTGCACTTTACTTTTATTGTTTAAGTTTAACACGTTATACATTGCATCCACTTATCCACTTAATAATTTAGAAAACAAATTGTTTACAAAAAGATCATTTATCTTTTGTACATAGAAGTCACAATCATTCACATTCGTTAGATGTCAAATTGAATGGTTTTAGATGAGTCACAGAGTTCAAGATTTTTTTTATATTCAAGGACCCTCTTACAATCACACATTTTAAATTTTAGGGGTATGAATGATTGTGATCTCTATATACAAAAGATAAACAAACTCTTCGTAAAATAGATGCTTCCAAATAATCTGCCACCGACTTCCAAGGTCCAGAGTGGTGTGAAATTTCCCTATAGAAATTAATAATGTGCCCGCGAACCCACAGTGTATAATAGTGACACGTTAATCTGCCATCCACCTTTGCTCTCGTCAATGGAAGGTGGCGATGAGCCACTGTCCCCATTCAATTCACTCAATCGGAAAGACGCTTATGGCTGCCGTGGGTGATGAGGATGGGCGCTGGATAAACAGTCATGGCGCTTATATGATACACGCAACGTGTATTGCTTGAAGAGATTATTTCCCTTGTTCCTCTTTCCCTCCAATTTTGTCCTATTCCTTTTGTTTTTTTTTTTTCAATTTTCTTCCAATCCCATTGATGAGTTGCAGAAAGTCAATAGTATTGTCAATACTAGCTTTTCTCTAACCCATGTGACTCTCTCCCCTCTCTCTCTGCCCTGATGGATATTTCTCTCTCTATGCCCTAATGGATATTTCTCTCTCTATGCCTATGTCCTATTAAAACCTTTGGAGCAAGACTTGGGTCTACCATGAACATTTGTAGGAAAACAAAGTAGAAGGCCCATTTCCAGGTTAGTGTTTCTGATCACTCTTTTTCTTTTTATTGTGTTATTGTTCTCATAAAACACAAAACTAGATGAGCAATAAGGAATGGAAGGGAAATTCTCTTACTTTATTGTAACTCCTGCTTCGATCTCTTGCAATTGAGCCCTGAGAACCCTTTCTTTTTGTTCTACTTAAAACCAGGGTGCTGAACTACTTGGATCTACTGTAATTGTGAGAGAATGCTCACTGTTTCATGAAATCCCACCTGGGTTTTGGAATCAGACGCCTTGAATCCCCTGGAACCTGCTTTTTCAGTGAGAGACTAACTGCTTCCTAAGCAAATTCTTGGGTTTTCTTATAATGGATCGTCGACGTTTGGTTTTATGTCTCTATGTTACAGTAGCTTTGCTTCCTGGTCTTGCATTCTCGCAATTTCCAGATATCAATACCCTAATTGAAGTTGCTCAAGAAAACTATGATCGATACCCTGAAGTACAAAAGGAGTGTGGGTCCTTTATATCACAGGCTTCTGAGCTTAAAAAAGATGAGCATATGGAATACAAATACACACTGAGAAATGAGCTAAGTTTTTCAGAGGGAGATTGGGTTCAGAAGTCCGGTGATGCTCCATTAATGCCTTTTGGGAATGGAAAAACTAATTTGGGATCGGGAAATGACATGGGTTTTCTCTTTCCTCAAAAATTGGCCTCATTTTCGGTTGGTAATATTGCCCCAATTGACACTCGTAGCAGATCAATGAACATTAGCGGGTCATTACAGTTAGCCATACTCAATAACACAATTATCTCTCAGGGTTATTCTCAGTCTCCATTCTCTCCTCACTTTGAGCTTGGTCCTAGTTATTCTTTACTTACAGTGATTTTCCAAGGTGTTTACATGGAATCAGAGAGAAATGGAGGCGAGCGCACATTGTGCATGTTAGGGAATACTCTCTTACCTTCTCGACAGGTCGATTCTACTGACCCTTGGCCATGGCTGAACACTACTAGTTATTACCAGCCTCATCTATTGGAAGATGAAAACATTTTGCTTGTTCTCCATTATCCCATGAAATTTACTCTCACCTCTAGGGCCATTCGTGGAGAGATGCAGAGTTTCAATCGTAATTCAAACCCAAAATACTTTGATAGTGTGAGAATTTCTTCCCAGTTGGGTGCTTACTCAAACTACCAATTTGGATCAGAGAAACTAGTGGCAAAGGCATGTGATCCCTACCCATATCGGGATAATGTGATCGATAAAGACATAGAGCTCGTCAAAGGTAGAGAATATTGTGGGATCTTAGAGCGTTTTTCTTCTGGTGAAACTTTTAAAATAGTCCCGAACTGGAATTGTAATGTCACGGATGAGTATTGTAGCAAATTGGGTCCTTTTGATTCAGCTGCAGATATTAAAGCCACAGATGGAGCTTTCAATAATGTAAAGCTTGTGATTCGGGATATAAGGTGTGAACCAAGATTCAATTCATCAAGTGCTAGAATCGCCTCTGTTTTTCGAGCCATTACTCCTTCTGAGGACCCACATGCATCAGCACAACGATCGGGGCTTAATGGTATGGTTCTCTCAGCTGAGGGGATATGGAATTCTTCTATAGGCCAGCTGTGCATGGTGGGTTGTTTGGGAAACCTTGATAAAGGAATGGAAGTTTGTAATTCTCGCATTTGTCTCTATGTTTTCCTCACATTCTCAATCAAGCAAAGGAATCTTGTCTCTGGTACCATATCAAGTATAAAAAATGGGAGTGATTCATATTATCCTTTATCTTTTGAAAGACTAGTGAATCACCCTTCCGAACTATGGAATGTATTAGGCAGTGATAATCTCTCCTACAAATATACCAAGATTGGTTTAGCTGGTGCTTTCCTAGAGAGAACCGAACCTTATGGGTTTGGAGATGTTATAAAGAAATCTCTTCTGAATTACCCACAGAAAGAAAAAGGGAGAAAAGAATTCAGCCTTTCTCTCCTCTCAGAGGACCTAACTCTTCATATTTCTGCCGTGCCGGACCCACCACCAAAGGCTCGTTTTAGAAAGACTTTTGTGCAGCTTGAGATGCTAACCATTGGCTCATTCTTTGGGGGTTATTGGCTGAGGAATGCTTCATATGGGGATTTAGTGGACAAAAGAGGTCCAGTTTATTCGAACGCTGAACCCACTGAGAAAAAGCTCCTCTTGAATGTCTCGGCAGAGCTCAAACTGACTGGAACTGCCTATGAAAATGTCTCAACTCTGTTTTTGGAAGGGTTATATGATGAGATTGTTGGGAAAATGTATTTAATTGGATGCCGAGATGTTCGAGCCTCTTGGAAAGTCTTGTTTGAGAGCATGGATCTCGAAGATGGCCTTGATTGCTTAATTGAAGTGAAAATTGAGTACCCACCTACCACTGCCCATTGGCTTATGAGCCCTTCAGCTAAGATCTCCATATCCAGTCAAAGAAATGAAGATGACCCACTTTATTTTCCACTCATCAAGCTCCAAACCTTTCCTATCATGTATAGAAGGCAAAGAGAAGAGATTATCTCTCGTAAAGGCGTGGAAGGGGCTCTACGAATCTTAACTCTATCAGTGATGATATCTTGCATTCTCAGCCAGCTCTTTTATATCCGAGATAAAGCTGAGGTTGTCCCTTTTATTTCACTCATGATGCTTGGAGTTCAGGCTTTGGGTTATAGCATTCCTCTTATTACTGGTGCTGAGGCTTTGTTTGAAAGGGTGACTTCGGAGCCCTATGACGAGAGATATATGGAGAATTATCGATGGTTTAATGTGATTGACTATGCCATTAAGATGCTTGTATTGGTTGCCTTTCTTCTCACACTAAGGCTTGGTCAGAAGGTTTGGAAAGCTCGAATTCGGCTCCTCACTAGGGCCCCACTCGAGCCAGGGCGGGTCCCAAGTGATAGGCGGGTTTTCTTCACATGTTTGGGAATCCATAGTTTGGGTTTTGTTCTCATTCTTATTGTTCACTCTTTGAAAGCTGGACAAAGGCCATTGAATTCGGAAACATATATTGATTCAAGAGGATATACCCACAAGCAGAGGGAATGGGAAACTGAACTAAAGGAATATATTGGTTTGGTTCAAGATTTCTTCCTTCTTCCGCAGATAGTTGGTAACTTTTTATGGCAAATTGATTGCAAACCATTGAGGAAAGCATATTATATCGGTGTCACTATAGTGAGGCTTCTTCCCCATGTTTATGATTATATCAGAGCCCCTGTTTTTAATCCATACTTCTCTGAGGAATATGAATTTGTAAACCCAAGTTTGGATTTCTATTCAAAGTTTGGGGATGTGGCCATACCTGTGACTGCCTTTGTGCTGGCTATTATAGTATATGTTCAGCAGAGATGGAGCTACCAAAAGCTTAGGCAGACCTTGTTGAAGCAAGGAAAGCTTTTGCCCCTTGGATCCAGGGCTTATGAAAGGTTGCCGTCAAGATCTTTTGAAGCAGAGCTCGTAACAGGTGTGAATGAAACTGCAACAGTGGATCATGTTTCCCAGGATGAACAGTGATCAATCAAGCTTTAGCTTTTTGAGATAAGTTGTAAGTTTTTCTTTTTCTTTAGGGGAAAGAAGTTTATCCAGTGCGGATCTTAATGTTATGTTATTCTTTTTCTGAAAATTGAGTGTTAATGTAAATCTTATCAATGTTAATTTTTCCATACTTCTAGGGTATCGGTTTCATAAGGTTCAATAGTATTGATGTCATGTTTCCTCTACTGAACAGTGATGATATCTTAAACTTGTTGTGATAGATGAAGAGTTAATTTTCTCTTTTTTTTTTGGGGCGGGGTGGGGGGGGGGGGAGTGAGGGGGGGATAAAGAAGTTTTCTATTTGACAATGGGGTTTATTTCAGTGCCTCTTTTGTTAATGTTATTTGTGTTTTGCTGTCTGTTTCATAAATATTCTAGGACGGTCCATTTATTCTCTGAATCTACTCCTGTTTTCTATTTGACAATGGGGTTTATTTCAGTGCCTCTTTTGTTAATGTTATTTGTGTTTTGCTGTCTGTTTCATAAATATTCTAGGACGGTCCATTTATTCTCTGAATCTACTCCTGTCATCCTTGATATTTTAGTATAATGTCAGTCCAGTATAATAGCTTTTCATATTAAACTTAGCCGCATGAGGTGCAAATTAATGTATTGTGTTTCTTTGATACACCATCAAAACTATCCATAGCACTGTCATGAACTTTTGGCATTACCCAACAGAGATAACAAAAAGTTTTGTATTTCTATGTTAGGATTGGGATTGCACAATTTGGGTTGAAACTTCAAATTGAACTCCCTCATTCGTTTTCTGCACCCTTTCACTTCCCTTTGGAATCTTCCTATTGTTGGAGGCAGACAAAACAAGTTGTTTGGAAAATTAATGAGGTTGATTCTATTTGCTTGGTAAACTGAATGGATATCTATTCAGTCTTAAAAAAAACTGAAAGAATATCTATACGTAGTAAAGTTTGTATCTGAAAATCCAATTGGGGTGCCTATTTTCAGCTAAATGATCGTCATGGTTCTGAATCCATTTGGCTGTGGCATTAAATGGGGTTTTCAGCATATGATGGACATTCTTTTCATTTTGAGTATCACCATTAAATAGTTTCTTGATAACATTGGTTTCCATATCTAATATGATATAGTGGTTGCTATCACTGACCATGGTTCTATGATTTTATCATGACTAGAAACATTCATATCTAGCAATTGCTTGATGTGTTTAGACTACTTCTTTATGTCAGAAAAATATTTCATCTAGTCTGCTGAAAACTCTCTTGAAATATCAGGTTTCAGCACCTTTTTTTAATTGTTTCTTTTGGATCAAATTCTTTAAGAATTCTATTGAATCCCTACTTTATTTTCCATTTTGAATTATGAAGACATTTTCATGAACCTGTTTTACTTGGAAGGTTCCTAGAGATTGAGGACCATTTAGCTGAAAGACGGATTGTTGGCTTTATGCAGATAGACAATACAAATGGGTTTGATGTTCCACATTATAATATGGTTTAGCATATAGAATCTTTGATTTCATCTCGTCCGATTTTGTGCATCTAGTTTTGTTCCCAAGAAAAACTGATTTTGTAGAGTGCAAGATTCTATTAAAGAATTTCTGGAAAACGTTGCATTTCTGATGAAGTTTTTGGGGTTACTGTTATTGTCCAGGTTGTACTAAAAGGCTATTCAGAAGCAGTCTTACAAAGTTAAGTCTTCGACTCTACATGCTAGTTAGATTTCACATACCAGTATCTCTAGAAACACAAAATGAGATTAGAATTTAAGGGTTGAAGCACGTGGTACGGATGCCCAAGGAGCGTACTCTAGGGCATTGACTCACCAGCATTACTGACATCCAGAAGAAGCATTTTCCTTATGATCCCACGTTCAATATATGGTCCTTCATGCAATATTACTCGAAGTTCTACATGGCAATCTTATGCATCTCTATTATTGATACATCTCTTTGTTTTCCATAATGGTTTGCCTCTTCATTCTGATTCCAGATTCTGATCAAATCAAAATGCAGATGTCAAAACTAGCATTTTGGAAGGAACAAGAAAAAGAACTCTCGTTCTCTCGCTCATACTATCTTATGGGGGGCCACAACCCTCCCTGCCTGGCCAAATCATGTCCTCAAAAGAACTACAGAAAGTATTCTATGATACACGACTTTGTAAAACCCATAATCACGAGGGTGGCCACCGTACAATCAACGATTCGACAGTGATGGAGAGGGAGTGGGATCCGCTGTTTTAGAACCATGTCATGGCAAGTTCCATTCTCTTCATAACCGTCCTGACATTTAGATTTGGGTTTTTCAGTCAAGTGGATTATAGCCTACTTTCACAAACAATTAATCTTTATTTTGCAACTACCTATAGTAGTTATTGATTGTAAGGCTTATTAGCTGAAAGATGAAAACCCCGAAACGATCTCTTTTGATATAAAGCAATTAGTGTCTTTTCCATTAGGAACTTACATGGTATCAAGGAATCTTCAACTTGGACCCGGATCACAGCCCACCGATTCTGAGCTGGCTCGGCATATTCTAAAGGGAAATTTCTAAAATTGTTGATGAGAGAAGAACAATTTGACAACTTACTTATATCTTTTGATTTAATTTCAAAATACCATGATTTTGTGTTGGAATTGTAGCAAATGAGTGGGAAGAGTTGCAAATGAGTCGAATGTTAAAATATCTTATAGGTATTTTGATAAATTTCCCGATTCTAAAATGGTGCTCCCTCGTGCTTTAATCTCCGGGGCACAAATGCCATGATTCTTCTCTCACAAGGAGTGAGAAAGACTTTAGGTTGGAAGAGAGAGAGAGAGGTCCTCAAACCCGAGGTGGGCCCTATGGAATGGGACATCTCGGGACATCTCAAGCGTTCCTTTGAACCTCCGACAGTTGAAAGGAATCTTACACAAAAATGTTACGATGAACGTGATGTACACTAAGTTTGAATTACATATACAGGTCGTTAGGTGCCCAAATCCTCATTGTCTTATCACTTTTCTTACTCAAAAAGGAAAACAAAGGAAAAATTGCCTAAAACCTCTAAAAATAGACTTTCTAAGTATTTTATCCACTTCAATTTTTTTTAACATATTTTTTTCAAAAATCAAGTTTTATAGCAAATAGCCTCCCATACAAAGAGTTCATTTCTGTTTTACGAAAAGACCTATGCTGCACATAACAAATCATTTTCGGATCCCAATAAAACGAAACTCCGGACCGCAGTTGTATATTATCGGAGCGGAACTGTACACTGTCCGGCCACCTATTCCAGACACAATTTTAAATTTTGCCGGACTGTAGCTCACAAATGCCGGACCTCCATGATGAAGTGTCGGACCGTCATGGTGAAGTGTCGGACCATTTCAAATCAATGACTTAAGCGCCGGACTGCTTCTTCCAAATGCGGGACCACCATAGTGAAGTGTCGGACTGACATGGTCAACGTGTGAGGTAAATGAGGGGTATGTTAGTCTCTTTTTTTTTTGAGCTGGGGATATTTGCTAGAAAACATGTTTTTGGGGAAAAGTTAGGTTATAAGTAAATTGCTTAGAAAGTCCATTTTTTAGGATTTTATGCAATTTTTCCAAAAAAATGTGTAGATGTATAGGTGGTCCGCGTGATAGTTGCCACAACACTATCCCGTAAAGGGCCTTTTTCCCACTGCTATATAGACTGGAAAAGTATATAAATACCAAGAAAGCATATGATGAGACCATTTACGTTTGATACAAAGTAGTCACAACTAATCCCTATACAAAAGGTAAACGGTCTCCCACTGTTATATAGACTGGAAAAGTATATAAATACCAAGAAAGCATATGATGAAACCATTTACCTTTGATACAAAGTAGTCACAATTAATCCTTATACAAAAGGTAAACGGTCTCATTGTATGCAATCCCATGTATTCAGTTCCAAATACATATATAAATGGAAAAAGTCTCTAAACAATCGAATTAGAGCCCACCTTAAAATTTCACTTGAAGAAGTTGTTTGATGCACAAATATCTTCAAATTGATCATCTTGACATCAAGATGCATGGATTTCAAATTTTGAAAATAGCACATATTATAACACATTTTTGGACAGTAAATTTTCAAGATTTTCATAGATCTGCTCGATCGACACTATTTTTGAAGCTTTAACTTTTATAATTATAGATGAAAATATATTTTAAGGCTATCACAAAGATTTTCAATATTAAAACCATATTTCTCGACACTATCTTAAGGTACGCTTTACTTTGATTGTTTAGAGCCTCGGCTCTATGTAAAGCGCAACCTATATAAAGTTTCCCTTTTTGTATTTCACCATGTCCCATTTTCTCATAAATTACTAAAGATAAGAGCTGCCGCGGAGTATTGACCTAACTATTACATTTCCGTAACAAAAACTGAAAATCCACAAGTGCCTTAAATTTTCACAAAATTCCAAGGTATTCAGCTGTAATCTAACTAATTTCCGCAAGATATCGGCTCACTTCTCATTGTAAAGGTCCATGAATCTCCTCTCTGCCTAAGATTATTACTCTCTCTCTCTCTCTCTCATTTCCACCAAATTTTCACTATGTCGAAGTAGATTCTAGTCCGAGTCCTAGAGATAAAGAGTGAGTTGGTCTTCACCAGAATCCACAGAGGAACGCTTCGGTCGAAGATTCTAATGGACCCGAACTTGAATCAATTTTTGATGACTGTAAAGCATCCTCATATTTGACCTGGACATCCGTTCCTGCAATTCCATGCTTTTGCTGCATTATCAGAAACGGGGAATCGATCTTTTGTAATTGAGAAGCTGAAGCATCTGGTTTTTCATGGGGAAGAAGATTCAAATCTGGCTTTGCTTCATCGGCTTTCTCCACTTCTTTGGACTGCTCCATTTCAGATGGCTTCTTGCTCTTAGCAATAGTGTTCTGTAAAAAAGCGAAAAGGGTTGGTTCCGAAGAGAGAGAGAGAGAAAGAGAGAGAGAGAGAGAGGAGGGGTTGGGGTGACCTTCCTGTAGGTGGTGCCATCGTCGTCGACGTGCCAGCCAGCCTCTGTACAGAGCGCCTTGAGCACCTCATTCTGGTCAGAGTGGGTGGGCAGGTTGTAGTTGCCATAAGCTCTCAGCCCCGCAAATATCCTGGCCGCCACCGCCCTCCTCTTCCTCTCTCTCCACCTGTTGTTCTCTCTCTCTCTAGCCGATGGCCTCCTCAATGTAACAGCCACCTCATCACCCTTGCTTCCTCCTTTCCGACGTCTCACAATCCACGGCCCCGCCGTTCTCTTTATGCACCCCCTCACATTGCGCCCCCTCTCTTCTCTCCCATTCTCCATTCTCGCCTCTCTCTCTCTATATTTCAGGCTTTGTTTTTCCTCTTTAAATAAGAACCCAAAAGTTTGAGATGCATTCTTCTCCGCCACCCTTCATTCTTTCTCTCTCTAAAAATTTCGATTCTCTTCTCTCTCTCTAAAAAACTTCGATTCTCCTCTCTCTCTCTATAAGAAATGCAAATTGATTGGAGGGACAGCAAATATGCCCCCACGAAGTATCCGTTTGGCGAGGTGGGAGGCGAAAGACGAAAATGCCCATGCATTTTGCAGATTTTTTGGAAATTTTCGGCTCAAAATACCATAGTTAGCACAGCATGCACTTACTCCCTTGGCATTTAGCAACTTAGGAAATTTTTTTTTTTTTTTTAATGGAATTTGACGATCCCATTTAGAATCACTAATGAGTATTTTTTAGAAAGATAAGAAATTCAAATATCAGTTAGTAAACACTTTGAGATTTGACCGTTAAAATTTTTGAAGGGTTGTTCACAACAAATAGTTGGGATAAAACTCGGATGATGACAAATTAGAGATATTATGTTATTGTTTGTTTTAAGCAGTTGAAGTTTGCATTTTTTTTTCCCTTACGTTTGTTGCTAGATTGAGAAGGTTTCATTACCAAGATATGGGATCCTAGAATGGAGATTTAAGAGTGAATGGATCATGTGCCCTGTAAGAGCATGTAATCTTTTGGTAAATTTTAGATCAAGAAAATTATTCACCAGGTTTCCGATATAGCTTGCATAAGGTTGCAACATTAAATAATCGAAATAATGCATGACTTCAAATTTTATCATAAGATGTAATATTGGTGCCATAATTTCTTAGGATGACCTGGGAATTTATTTTCATCTCTCTTAATACCATTTCAAACTCCAATAGTGGTTCAAATCAAGTAAATTTATAAACACATGAAAATTTTGAAAAATGGACGGTCTAGACTCTCTTAATAAGACACTACTTTTTGGAGCTCGATTTTTTTTAAAAAAATATTTTTATACATCATGATGTCGAGATGATCAATTAAGAGGGCTTCCAACATCAAAAACAACTTTTTCTAATGGATTTTTGTGGTGCACCTTATATAAACTTTTTTCGACATATTTTTGGACAAATTAGTGTAGCACGTGCTCCCATCGTGCAATACTTCTCCCTCACGTCAGAGCAAGTGCATGCTGTGCTCCCACAATAAGCACTTTCCACCTATCTTGTCCTTGCCAAAGGAATATATAGAGGTGCAACCTACAAATTTGATGTAGTGGTAGAATTCAAGGAATGAGTGCAAGATGAGCAAGGTTTAAATCCTCCTAATGGCATTCTTTAATGGCATTCTTTACTATGGAGATTTGTCAAAAAAAACGATTATATCCTGCTGCAAGAACCTATCTTTTAACTTCCTTTGGGCAAAACTCTATGTTGGCATGTGTGGTTTGCGTGAAAATATTTTTTCACATGAAAAAATTCTTTTATATAGTTAAGTGTGAGAATATTTTCACATCAATTAGTTGTCAATTGATAAGAAAAGATGCACTAAGATTAATTGGTATGAAAGATATTCCTACACTTGACAATCGAGAGAATTTTTCATGCAAACCAAATGTGCATGCTATTTCATGCAAACCAAATGTGCATGCTATCACCAACCCAGGGACTTCAAATTTTCAAGATGTAAAATCTTCAATTGAACATCGTGGCGGAGCTTTGCAAAATAAAAATCATAGTATTTTACATAAACTTGAACAAAAACAAACATCAAGACCAAACTTTTTAAGAGTTGAATTTATGTGTTTAGGAATGCAAAATAATCATCTTTTGAATAATCTCCAGTAATTTTGAAGTGGACCTCAAAATTTCACATGGCGATAATCTTAGAAAGTCAGTCTTTTTGCTCAAGGAAAGAAATTTGTGGTCCTCATTTCATATTATTCTCGTATGAATATTTGAAGAAACGTCAATTTGGATCGTCATCGTCCAATCCGGATCGAAAATATGTGGGACTTGTTCGATTCTTCCTATTTATCAGGAACCGACTGGTTCTTTAACAAAACCAGTCGATCCGGCCGCACCTTTTATTATTTTGACTTTTATTTTTTCTATGCATTTTTATTCTTTTATAAAAATACCGATTCACTTGGCTAGTTAGTTTTCTATATGGTCAATCCAGGTCCTTGATCCATTTTTCTAAACAATACTTTGTACGTTCTTTTCAAGTTGCCAATATTTACAGAAATGCCCTTCAATGAGACCTCCAATTGTGCATCTTTTTGCTTGGGATCGTATATTATATGGCTTTTTTTTGTGGTATGGAAAGTCACAATCATTTTCAGCCATTCATGTGAAATCCAATAGATGAAAGGATGTCAAAAGATTTGATGAAATTTTATTTTAGATACATTCTCAACCACCCGATTTCTAATCTAATGGTCAATGAGAATTGCGACGTGTCAAAAATAAATATAGAGTCCAGCAAATACCTTAAGAAGACGAAGGCGTCCCTTCCAGTAAAAAGACCATTTACCCAGAGTGCAAAACCCCAAAGCTTAATTTGCGGCTGCAGGCTACGATGGCAGTATTGTCTTTTGCGTCCTGAGAAGCACGTTTAATGTGAAACAATAGGAAGTATTTAAGGGCACTACAGTAATTTTGGATTTGTAAGGGCCACAAGTGGACGAATCCTGTCACACGTGCGAACGAGGCAATGCGTGGGAGGCATGACTGGTGCTCCTCAGGAGACAGGCAGAGTGTGCATGTTTGAATCGCTTTTTTCAATTTCCCCCACAATGAGCTATTTTTTCCCATACACCTATGGTGTATCATATATTATACACTTTAAAAACATCCACCGTCCAAACCTGGTGATGGACTATAGCAATTGATCGTCTCCCATTGCAATCCCTTTCACGTACACCAGTGATTAGTGGTGTCTATGGTACTCTCCCCTCCCATCCCAAACCCTATTTTGGACCCTTGATTCAAAATTTAGAGAGAGAGACTTTAGCTGTCTTTTTCGAGAGAGAGAAATTTTGGTGTCCTCTAGAGAGAGAGAGGGAGATTTTGGTTGTCTTTTGCTTTTACTGTGATCCGGCCTGTTCCCATATCCCGCACACGTGTGAGTGAGTTTTTTGAGGGCGGGGAATATTTACCGGTTTCCTATCGTGCCAAACCGTTTTGAAAAAGAATAACATTGTCGTCCTCCGTGTGCCAAATTCTATCCTGCACAGTCCTAAATGTCAGTTATTACAGTTGTCCCTAAAAACTTGCTATGTTATGTTCGGGTGTGGTTTGTATAGAGCCTAGGCTCTAAACAATCAAATTAGAGCCTACCTTCAAGTAGTGTCGAGAAATGTGATTTCAATACGGAAATCTTTTTGATAGCTTTAAAATATATTTTCATCTTTATTTATAGGAAAAAATTTATATAGAGCCAAGGCTCTATACAATCAAATTTGAGCTTACCTCAAAAATTGCACTAGAAGAGGTTGTTTTGATGCCAAAATATCTTCAAATTGATCATCTCGACATCAAGATGCACGGACATGAGAAAAAAAATGGATCTCAAGTTTTGAAAATAGTGTATTTTGTGATGCATTTTTGGACCGTCAATTTTCAAGATTTTCATAGATATGTCGATCTACACTATTTTTGAATCTTTAAACTTTATAAATAAATATGAAAATATATTTTAAGGTTATCACAAATGTTTCCAATATTGAAACCACATTTCTCAATACTATTTGAAGGTAGCCTAGGCTCTATACAAACCACACCCTTATTTATAAAGTTTAAAGCTAAAAAATAGTGTAAATCGAGAGATCTATGAAAACTTGAAAATTTTGAAAATTGACGGTGCAAAAATACGTTACAAAATAACTATATTCAAAAGTTGAAATCTATTTTTTTCTCATGCCCATGCATCTTGATGTCAAGAGAGGATATTTGAGCATCAAAACAGCATCTTCAAGGGAAAAAAACGAAATGAAATTGCTATAAAAAATCTGGGCAAGAAACATTGACTCCACTCATTTCAAGCTCCAAACATAATACATTGGCATTAGTTATCTTAGGAATTTCAGCAGATCAAATAATCAAGAACCATGTAAGCCTTTATATATGAGTCTAAGTCATGCTACTATATATACACAAGGTCAAAAACCATATGTTTGTAAAAAAAAAACGAAATGAAATTGCTATAAGAAAATCTGGGCAAGAAACATTGACTTCACTTATTTCAAGCTCCAAACATAATAAATAGGCATCAGTTACCCTTGGAATTTCAGCAGGTCAATAATCAAAATGCTACCATATATACGCAAGGTTAAAAACCATATGTTTGCCAAAAAAAACGAAATAAAACTGTTATAAAAAAAATCTGGGCAAAAAACATTCACTCCACTCATTTCAAGCTCCAAACATAATACACAGGCATCAGTTAACCTTGGAATTTCAGCAGGCCAAATAATCAAGAACCATGTAGGCCCTTAAATAGGAGTGTAAGTCATTATACCATAAATACACAATGTTAAAAACCATATGTTTGCCAAAAAAACGAAATCAAATGGCTACCATACAGTACTTTATCAAACCTAAAGTTGTTATAAGAGCCCTAAAGCATAAGAAAGTTTCATATGAGCATATTAAGATATATCAAATGATCATATTCTGATATATTCTTGTTGCTGTTACTTGAACATTCTAACAGAAATTTAAAGAATTGTTTTCAACTCATGCCCCAACAAGATAAAGTAGGTCATCTGAAATAAATTTGGAGTAAAGGTAAAAATCTCATCACTATAGTGTGCTTTAAATTTCTAGCCTATACATATTAATTAGAACGAATCAAAAGTCTTACATTTTCAAACAAAGAGAGGGCATTTTCACCAACTTTTACATTTTCACCCATTTTTACACATATAAACAGTATTGCAACAGTATTCCAATACTAGGCAAAATCTGAGTAAAAATGCTTTAAAAATGAAAACAAAAATCTGGAAAAAAAATGCTATAAAAAAATCAGGGCAAAAAATGCCACAGAGAAAGAACCATATATACACAGGGTTTTGCTCAGTATTCAAGATATTCAAGAAATGAAAACAAAATTTTGGTAAAAATGCAATAAAAATGCAAACAAAAATCTAGGCAAAAAAGGCTATAAGAAAATCTAAGCAAAAAATTCTACAAACCATGTAGTTGCCCGATTTTGCTCAGTATTTGAGATATTCAGAGCAAAAATACTCAAATTGGGTGTTGTTCTTTGGAGCTTTCTGGGTTTTATACTTGAAAAGTGTTAAAACCAAAGGGAGAGATGGAAAAAGAAAAACCAGAGAGAGAGAGAGAGAGAGAGAGAGAGAGAGAGAGAGAGAGAGAGAGAGAGAGAGAGAGAGAGAGA